CAGGTAATGGTTGCACTGCACAAAATGGTTTTACAAACTTGCTTGGGTAAATGATTAGGGACTGTGGTCTACACTGCTGCATACTGCTTATTGTAAGGAGGGATCCTATTGTGTAATTTATTAAGTTAAAACTTATGCTATGCTTCAGTTCTTTCTGGTGGTTCCAGACTTCTAATAACCTAATGCATTGGTTACTGAACGTCCCATTTTATCGATTGCACTGGCTCACTATGTTTAACCTGCCTTGAGTCCTTGTGAGAAAGGAGAACCATAAATAATGTAAATTAAAAAAAAAACCATAGGGCTGTCAGCTGGTTGAAGAGTTTTACAGTGCAATCCCACAAAGTTACTCCGGTCTGAGCCCAGTGACTTCACTAGAAAGGACTGCCCTGTTAGTTGATTAAACAGGCTAACTGATTACATTCTAAGATGTGCACATTACCAACCTTTTAGCTGTGCCTTTTTGAGGCACGAGATAACTTACAATTGAATAAACAAAAGCTATCACATGTGGTGAAAAGGAAAGACGATCTGTTGTATTTTTCTGTCTCTAGCACAATAATGAGCCAGAAACAAAACAGTTTTAAGAAAACGAACTGACGTGCCATTAAGAACGTAGTTAGAGCTCTGCTGGGTCAGACCAGTGGTCCAGCTTCCTGTCTCGCACACTGGCCAGCCAACTGCTGTGGAGAGCCAGCAACCTAGGCACAGAAGCTGAGGCCTTTCCATGCTACCTCAAGTATCTACAGAGAAGTTATGCGGGAGGCCTATTTTGCTTACAACAGGATGTTCAGCGTGCTGATAATGACTAATTTACCCTCCATCTCCCTTCAGGAAGGTTCTGAGCACCTTCTTACCTGTTTTAAGTGGTCATTCAAAGCAATCTGCATCCCACTCTTCTTTCTTAGCATCTCACAGGTCATCAAGGTATAGAAGAGGGCAGTGGTTGCCAGTGGCAAACAGAAATAAAAGCTGAACAGCCACCAATCTTTAGCTTCCTTGTAGAGCTAATGGAGGGGAGGAGAAGGCATTAAGAATTTATTTCTACAAGTTGGGATAAAAACCTACCTATGCATCAGTGACATACCTCCCTACCATCACATGCCCGAATTAACTGATCAGCGCTCACAGCACCCCATGAAAGAACTTATTTAAGAATTACCCTGTAAAACAATTTCAGGTGAGTAGCCCAGTTGGTCTGCAGTAGAAGAGCAAGATTAGAGTCCAGTAGTACACTGAAGCCCCTGACCTGGATCGCCCAGGCCAGCCTGATCTCATTAGATCTTGGAAGCTAAGCAGGGTTGGCCCTGGCGAGTATTTGGATGGGAGACCACCAAGGGATACCAGGGTCGTGATGCGGAGGCAAGCGATGACAAACCACCTCAGAACGTCTCTTCCCTTGAAAACCGTATGGGGACACCAAAAGTCGACTGCGGGGGGGGGGGAGCATGTTCAAGACAAAGGACTCTTAAAAGCTTATACACCGGAAATCCTGTTGGGTCTTTAAGCTGCTACTGAACTCTTATCTTGCTCTTGTAAAAACAAGTTAACAAAGGCTATTGATCCTTCTCATTTTTACTCATCCCCCTTCCCACAAGAGTTAAGCCATCTGAGAGCACATCTGAAAAACTCCCAGGCAACAGAAACTTTGTGGCCTAGTCACCCAGAAGAGAGAACTGGGCTACACATTACTCTCATCACATGGAAATCACAGCAGTTCTCCTTATTCAGAATCCCAAAGACTTTTTTGTTGTTGTTTACTGCGTTCCCAGGGGAACGAGAGCCCTAGACGGCTCACATTTGCATGAAATGGGCAGTGGTGGCAGTAGACAGTCCCTGCTGGTTCAGTCCCTGGCCTCACTCCAAGAGAAGATGTTGAAAAAGACCTTTCTTTGCCTGAGATCTTGGAGAGCCAATTAACACTGATCAATGGTCTGATGCTATACTTGTGTTTGTTACAAAAGAAGAACCAGAGACTGTACTCCTTTCTTCCATTATTTTCTCTCTGTGTAGCATAGTGGCACTTGGATGGGAGACCACCAAGGAAGACCGGAGTTGCTATGCAGAGGAAGGCAGGAAAACCACCACTGCCCATCTGTTGCCTTGAAAACCCCATGAGATGAGACTTCGGGGGGGGGGGCTTAATGAAACCCACAAGCCCCAGCCCTTGATGCCCACCCTTGAACAGGTTGACCCCTGACATCTTGGCCTCTCCACAACCTTCAAAAATAGGTAAGGGTATGGGGCTGTCCCCCCAGTCTCCATGTACTTGGAGTGCTACAAGGGTCTGCTTTCCACACAATCCATATAAGGTTTGTCCAAGTTTTTATTCATCATATGTGATGAGGCAAATTATATTTAAAGACAGGCCTGTATTACAAGACCTCTGACCTGAACACCATAATGTTAAATCTGCCGCAGAGACTGCCTTGTATCTAACTAACTACGCCTTTCCCCGTATGTTCCCCCAAGAGCGCTACGGTCGGGGGCCCAAAACCTTCTAACCATACCGGGCCCCAAGGAGGCTAAGTTGGTCGTCACGAGGGCTAGGGCTTTCTCGGTGGCGGCCCCTGCCTGGTGGAATGAGCTCCCGGAGGAGATCCGGGCCCTGCGGGATCTGGGGCAATTCCGCAGGGCCTGTAAGACGGAGCTCTTCCACCAGGCTTTCGATTAGGGGCCGCCGCCGCTGCCCCCCCCGCTGTATAACATCAATGTGGGGGGGTGAGGGCCCTAGGAGATTAGGAGGAACATCGGTGGAACATCTGATTATAACATCTTTTATACTATGCCTACGAAGGGATGTTTGATATGTGGTGCCCTCTCTGATGTTGTAGTATGGATGCTGAGTAGTTTGAGCACTTTATTATCTGTTTAGGTTTTTAAATTGTATATTATGGTTTTAAATTGTATTATAGTACTCGATGTTTTATGAGCAAGCTTTTGCTATGTAAGCCGCCCTGAGCCCTACGGGGGAGGGCGGGATATAAATTTAACAAATAAATAAATAAAATAAATAAACTAGTTAACACCCGATATTTATAAATGGCCACCTCTGCCATAACAAAAAAAGCACTTCTTATCATTTGAACCTGTATTGTGGTACAGTAAGCCAAGTCAAGAAAGGGTACCCTACCTGCATGAAAGGTGTTTTTTGCTGGGGATTTAGTAGGCAAGATCGAATTTTCTCTCCTCTGTATTCTATAGCAATCATATCAAAACCTATCGCTTCAGGAACGGCTAAGACGAGAGACACGGTCCAGATCAATACGATTTCTACAGCTGTCCACTTGGGCACTCCAATTCCTTTGATACGGCTCCAGGAAGCTACTGCCCGATACCTAGATTTGAGAAATGAACAGTGAGTAGTTCAGATTAGACAGTGAATTAAGACTAAACTCTGCTCTTCCCAAATAATGTAACCATAAACTCCGTTTACATGAATGATTACATCAATCCTAGACGGGTGTATTAATTCAGAGCAAAGTGTTACAGAAATTTCTGTATCATGAGAGATTACGTGTTTGAAAAATGCTAAACAGGATCTCCTACTCCCCTCTGAATCAAATTGGAGAATAACAACGGCCCCTACCCTTAATGGAAAAAACCACTGTAATATGGGTCCTTTCCCCCACTTTGCACCAGTAATGTGAAAATAACTGAGACTTGTGAGAAAAGCCTGTGATAAGGCTCCTTCTATGTCCCCACTGTTGGATCTTGAACACTAAAACTGACATGGATCCTATGAACGAATTCCATGTGTCTGTGTCTCTGCCGTGGAGAGACCTCTTGCGCGCACTTCCATTTGCGCAAGATTGATAGTTTTCAATGAGCCCTTGCACATATGTAAGTGCTAGAACAAGAAGAGGCATGCTGCACAATATAGACTACCTAGTGTGGAAAGAACTTTTTCATAGGACCCAAGCATTTATCCGCGCAGAAACACTTCGAGCCGGCCCTGTATGTCCCCACTGCTGGATCTTGAACACTAAAACTGACATGGATCCTATGAACGAATTCCATGTGTCTGTGTCTCTGCCGTGGAACACACTTCCTCTTGTGCGCACTTCCATTTGCGCAAGATTGATAGTTTTCAATGAGCCCTTGCACATATGTAAGTGCTAGAACAAGAAGAGGCATGCTGCACGATACAGACTACCTAGTGTGGAAAGAACTTTTTCATAGGACCCAAGCATTTATCCTCACCATAGATGTACCATCAAAAATTAATTAATTAACGAGCTCCACTGGGAAGGGAGGAGGAAGGAAATTCCACTCTGCCATTAAACACTGCTTATACCAAATGTGCATATTTGATAAACAAACAAACAAACAAAAAAAGTACTGGTTTCTCACCTGTCAATACTGAGAGCACATAAACTTAACACCGTGATGCCCACTGATGTCTTTTGAATGAAGGGGACCAGTTTACATAGTTCTACTCCAAAAGGCCAGTTTCCTCCAGAATGGAGCTGTTGAAAGGCAAACAACCAGAAATTAAAAGAGGAGACACTTCACATCTGTAAGCCACTCATTGGGAAATGAAAATGTTTAATGGGCTTAAAGAACAGCAGGGGAGAGAGGAGAGATGGCAGTGGCAGACAGGGTGGGGGAACAGGAAGCGTTATGAGAATGTGCATGTGCGATCAGGATTTTTGCTTGACTTGAGATCACACACAAAATTGTTCAAACCGAAAATCTTGTTGAAGGCTGGACAGTGCTGAATGTAACATGTGGTCAACTGGCAAACCGGACTGTCCGGGCGACTGAGCATCTGTGGTTATGTTCTACGCGTAGGATGGAATGGCTGATGTACTTGGTACTCCACAGGGCCCCTGCAAACCTGGCCTGTCCCCGAGTGACTAAACTAGGATTCACTTTTGTATTGATTGATCACATCCATGTATACCTTAGAGAAGAAAAAAGGTCCAGACGCCTGACTGGAAGGCATGATGATCCATGGCAATCAGCTAGGAAGCTGATCTTCACATTCACCCTAACACTCGGGCTGTCTCTAAGATATTAACAGCGCCATCCTAAGCTGAGTGCCACCCCGCTAAGCCCACTGATTTCGGTGGATTTAGAAGGGCGTTTAGGATGGCCCTGCAAATCTCAGCAGCATGGAGATAACATGAACGGCAGCTAGAATTCCTTGCCGGAAGGGCAGAATATGCATATGGCAAGAAAGATAATTTAGGGGCTGCCCCAGAACCTCCCTCTCTTCTGGCTTTCGGCACAATATGCAAAACCGAACCATTCAAGAGGGCTTTTCTGTGCAGGTAATGGTTGCACTGCACAAAATGGTTTTACAAACTTGCTTGGGTAAATGATTAGGAACTGTGGTCTACACTGCTGCATACTGCTTATTGTAAAGAGGGATCCTATTGTGTAATTTATTAAGTTAAAACTTATGCTATGCTTCAGTTCTTTCTGGTGGTTCCAGACTTCTAATAACCTAATGCATTGGTTACTGAACGTCCCATTTTATCGATTGCACTGGCTCACTATGTTTAACCTGCCTTGAGTCCTTGTGAGAAAGGAGAACCATAAATAATGTAATTTTTTTTAAAAAAACATAGGGCTGTCAGCTGGTTGAAGAGTTTTACAGTGCAATCCCACAAAGTTACTCCGATCTGAGCCCAGTGACTTCACTAGAAAAGACTGCCCTGTTAGTTGACTAAACAGGCTAACTGATTACATTCTAAAATGTGCACATTACCAACCTTTCAGCTGTGCCTTTTTGAGGCACGAGATAACTTACAACTGAATAAAGCTATCACATGTGGTGAAAAGGAAAGACGATCTGTTGTATTTTTCTGTCTCTAGCACAATAATGAGCCAGAAACAAAACAGTTTTAAGAAAACGAACTGACGTGCCATTAAGAACGTAGTTAGAGCTCTGCTGGGTCAGACCAGTGGTCCAGCTTCCTGTCTCGCACACTGGCCAACCAACTGCTGTGGAGAGCCAGCAACCTAGGCACAGAAGCTGAGGCCTTTCCATGATGTTGCCCCTTGACATTCAAAGGTTTACTGCCTCGGAATGTGGAGGTTCCCCTCAGTCACCATGGCTAGAAGCCACTGATGGGCTGTGACACTCTTCCTTGTTAAGGCCATATTGTCCCACCAAGACCTTCCCCACAGCAGAGGACCCACAAAGCCTCAAACCGGAAAGGGGAAGAAGCTGCACCACCTGATTCCACTTCCCTTCAGTATTTTCCATTCCCACATGCTGCCTGAGCAGGGATAGTTCATCCTTCCTAGCGTGCTGCAGATCCTCCTTAAATAGGCCACTCTTTTAATCCCCTCTCAGGGCTGGCTCCCCCCCCCCCTTTCATCCAATCAGGGTCCTGGATCCTTGCCTCAGATGCATCTACCTCTTGGGTTGTGTCTTCCCCCCCATCCCACAAGCTTGATGATGCGATGGTCTCCACCTGGCTCCAAACTCAGTTCCTTAGCCCAGAGTCTGTGGCCCTGCCCTGCCCCTTTTGGGTACGTCTTGGCCCAGCTGAAGTGGTTGACAGCCACATATGGCTTGCCTCAGCCGAGGTCAGTTGTATCTGCAAGTCCAGGACAGGACCCGTCACTGGACACAGACTTATCCTCCATGAATCTCTCTAATCCCCTTTTTAAAGCTGTCTGTCACTACGTCCAGTGGCAGCAAATCCCACAATTTTAATAACTTGTGTAACGAAATGTTTCCTTTTGTCTGTCTGAATCTACTGTCCATCAACTTCATTGGGTGTCCTCGAATTCTAGTAGTTTGGGACAGGGAGAAAAAGTTCTCTCCGTCTACTCTCTCTGCCCCGTGCATAATTTTATAAACCTCTATCATGCCCCCCCCCCAGTTGCATATTTTCTCTACTAAAAACTCCCAGAATCTTCAGCCTTTACTCACAGGAAAGGTGTTCTAATAGGGTTGCCAGGTCCCTTAAAGACACTAGTGGTGGTGAGGGAAACACCAGAAGTGACATTGTGCACCTTGCCTACATCACCCGGAAGTGACGTAGGCATGTTGGGGATGGCACTCTGGTTTTTGGGCAAAACTCTGTGGTAAAAATCACCCTCACCATAGAGTTTTGCCCAAAAACCAGAGCGTCAACCCCCCTTGTATGCCCATGTCACTTCTGAGTGATGTAGGCACGTCACACGGCATTGCTGTTGGGAGGGGAATTTCCTCCTGCTGGCCAGTGGCGGGCAGGAGCCCATAATCCCCTGCCCCCAACTGGAGAATGGCCACCCTATGCTCTAACCTCTGAATTACCTTGGTTGCCCTCTTCTGTATTTTTCCCATCTCCGTGATGTCCTTTTTGAGATACAGTGACCAGAACCGCACACAGTAGCTCAGCCTCATTAAATAAAACTGGCTCACGCTGTTTAACAAACTATGGCGGAAATCTTGAGCAGGTCTACTCAGAAGTAGATTGAATACAGTGACTTCCGGGAAAGTATTTTTAGGACCGCAGCCTAACCGTGTGATCCGAAGCATAGGTACAGCCTTCTAAGCCCATAAAGTTAAAAAGACTTAGATAAGTGCACCTCTGAACTGTCAGACTAATTTACCTACGGATTAAAGCATTTCTTAAGGAGGAAAACTTCCACAAATGCACTGCCCAGTACAAAATTAACATTTGGAGTTGAAGACTGGTAGAGGAAAAGATCTTGCTTGAGTGCCTACGAAATGCACTGAAGAGAAAAGGGGAGACAGACAACTAACAGTGCAAGCCTTAAGGAGAGTTATATTGCTGTTATTGCACCACAGGGCATTACTCTTAGAAGGGGATTACTCCGCACAGGATTGCACACATACACAGACAGCTGACCTAATAAGGGAACTGAAGGAGCCCACAGTCAGAGGACAATGGCCTGGATGTGGGATTTAACGGTGAGGCTGATAAGAGAAGGATGGTTTTTGCTGACATTATGCAGAAAGCACTGTCCCAATTGAAGACTGGGACGGCTGAGGAATGTATCTGGATAGCTGGCAGTGGGAAAAGCTGAGTCAAATATATAGCCTGTACTGAGGTTCTGTGTTAAGAGGCGAGGGCCATGATCCAGTAATGCCTACTCCTGTTGAAACAAGTTTAATGTGCATGGCTAATTCCATGTTAACTTTGTATTACCTGTATCAAATAAACTTTATTTATTAAAATAAATACTTTACTTATTTACTTTATTTATATCCCACCTTTCACCCCAATGGGGGCCTAAAGCAGCTTGCATCATTCTCTTCTCAGAGAATGGTCCCAGTGTACAAAACAGCCTTGCAGTGCTTCCTAAAACTTCTAGAGATGGTGCCCTCCTCACCTCCTCAGGGAGAGCTCTAACTAATGCTAGGTAGGCTACTTAAAGTGGGGGAATATCCAGTGGGTGGCAAACTGGGAACCATAGGACATATGGGGAAAGACAGCATAATGTTTTGCAAATTCCCAAGACCAAATAATGTGGTATAAATAAACAATGTACCTTAAAGATTTTGTCCTTATTTGTTCCACAATTATGATTGGGAGAAACTTTTTTTTTTTAAAAAAAACAGCTTTTATTTTTAGGATTCTGTTTATGGGTCCTTTCACGCATTCTCCCAAAAGATGTCCAGGCTTTATTAGACTTTTTTGTGCATGTTATACAAAGATGAAAAGAAGCCTAAGCACATGAGGGAAAAAGTGTGTTCATGGGAATAGTATGGGAGCAATTGCAAAAGGTATCTCAGCCGTGGTGTGACAGACTGCACTTTTAAAAGCTTAGAAGTGCTGTGTAAACAGGTGAAGGACTGTGAAGGGTTGATTCTTCACAGAAACAGAGAGCTTTGAGCAACAAGCTGCTCCAAGGAATCTGACTGGTTACCATCAGCTGAACAGAGAAAGGCTTGAGAGCGGAATGCTGAGGAGAATAGTGTTTTTTGTTAGTATTTTTGAGGGAGTGAACAAACATGTGGACAAGGGAGACCCAATAGATGTTGTTTACATTGACTTCCAGAAAACTTTTGATAAAGTTCCTCATCAAAGCCTCCTAAGTAAGCTCAATAGTCACGGGATAAAAGGACAAGTCCTTTTGGGGATCAAAAACTGGCTAATTAATAAGAAACAGAGAGTGAGTATAAATGGGCAATTTTCTCAGTGGAGGGTGGTAAGCAGTGGGGTACCGCAGGGATCAGTACTCGGTCCGATGCTTTTTAACTTGTTCATTAATGATTTGGAGTTGGGAGTAAGCAGTGAAGTGGCTAAATTTGCGGATGATACGAAGTTGTTCAGGGTAGTGAGAACTAGGGAGGATTGTGAGGCACTCCAAAGATGCTGGGGGTTATTAGGAAGGGAATTGAAAACAAATCAGCCAGTATCATAATGCCCCTGTATATATCAATGGTGCAACCTCATTTGGAGTACTGTGTACAGTTCTGGTCACCACACCTCAAAAAGGATATTATAGCATTGGAAAAAGTGCAGAAAAGGGCAACTAGAATGATCAAAGGGTTGGA